CCTACTGCACCGGCTCCAACTTCGACCTCATATTTATTTACATCTACTTTACATATCGATAGCAATTTGTGCTTTATCATCATCAAGCAATGATAATTGTTATATAGCATATCCATCACCCGCTCCACCACCATCTTCATTATTTTCCAGCCATGGCTCACAACAACCATCCCCATCTGGTGATGTCTTGATTTTTGATGCTGTACAACAACAAGTTGTCAACATCGTCCAAGCACATAAAAGCCCTGTTTCATGTGTATCTATCAATTCAGAAGCGACTTTGTTGGCAACTGCTAGTGACAAGGTACACACACACACATATATAAATTAATTGTAAACAGTAATAATTAATTTTTTTCTTTGGAAAAAAATTATTTTTTGATTGCGATTAAAAATTTAGGGTACTGTCATTCGAGTATTTTCCATTCCAAATGCACAAAAACTTCATCAATTTAGGCGTGGCTCATACCCAGCCCGCATACACTCCATTTCGTTTAACATTGTAAGCACATTATTGTGTGTGTCAAGTGATACCGACACTGTACATATTTTCAAATTAACTGGGAATAATGGAAATCCTGTTGCTAATGCAAATTCAAGCAATGGTGTTGCTAACGGAGCAGCCGTTACAACCGGTGCACGTCATTCCGTTGGTAATACTACAATAGGAGGCTATGAAGCTTTTATTGATGGAAAGAAAAAGACTACTACAGTCGGGTATGTATTATATATTATGAATGACAAAAAATTTTGTAAATATATATATATATATATATAAATATTTATACTTGTAAAATTAGTGGTACTATAAGACGTTCTTCGCTTCATCTTGGACGTACTGTTGCTGGTAGTGTTGGTAATTACCTTCCTGATGCTCTTACTGAAATGTGGGAACCTGCCAGAGATTTTGCTTATTTAAAATTACCAAGTTCCGGTGTTCAAAGTGTAGTTGCGTTAAGCACGTAAGTTTTCCATTTATTTATTATACTATATACATAAAGTTTATTCATGGGATTATAAAATTTTTGTAGTAATGCACCACAGGTCATGGTAGTTACTTCAGATGGGTTTTTCTATCAATATAATATAGATCTTGAAAATGGAGGTGAATGCGTGTTACTTAAACAATACAGGTAATTGAAAAAATATTCAACCACATCTTATTTTTATTATTTGTCCTTTTGCTTCTTTAGAATTTGACTATTTATCTATTTATTTATTTTTAGTTTATTGGAACAAGGTGAAGATGTACAAAACACACTCACTGAATGATCTATGATGGTAATAATAATAATAATAATAAGATTTTTTTTGAATAATAATATTTCTTTATATATATCATAGAAAATATTTTTTTATTTATTTTCATTCATTTCATTATAAACTGTTTTATATGTATTAATTTTTTT